GCGTCAGGCTCCTCAGCCTCACCTCCTGACTCATGCAGGTGATCCAAGTAGACCTTGGTGGGAGCAGGTGTTCCGCCAAATATCAAGGTCCTAAACCATTTAGGGCCTTGTAAGTAAGCATTAAGACTTTGAAGTTGACGCAGAAATGAATGGGCAGCCAATGTAATGCAGCCAGAATTGGAGAAAAAAGTTGGTATTTTCTCACTCCAGTGAGGAGTCTGGCCGCCGCATTCTGCACCACCTGAAGTTTCCGCATCAGCCTCAAAGGCAGCCCCATGTAAAGCGCATTACAGTGGTCTAATCTTGAGATTATGAGCGCATGCACCAAGGTTGTGAGTGCCCCCATGTCAAGATTGGGCCGCAGCCGGGCGATCCACCAGAGGTGGAAAAAGGCAGTGCGGACTACTGACGCCACCTGCAATGTTACGTATGAATCATCTCCTCTCACATGGCTGGCATGTGAGTGTCGGGTCCAGATGTATGGCCAGGCTGTGGACCCCACTCTTCGCGGGCAGGGTCACCCCCCCAAACATGAGAGAGTCACCCAAGCTGCCAACCACGGGGCCACCCACTCTCAGAACTTCCGTCTTGTCTTGCTGACAAGTGAAGGTGGAAGAAATGGATTGAAATATTGTGGCAGTTCAAAGTCTAACAGATTTGTATCTTCTACCCCTCTCTCTACCATTTGCTCATTTCTGGTGACCTGGTATCTTTGGAACAATGAATAAAGGGGTAGGGATTCCATCCAAGCCTCTGCCCATTTTGAGCCTCTATGTACATACATACCTTTATTAATTATGCACAGCCTGTATGAGAGTAGCATTGTATGCCTGTGTAGCGGATATGCATAGGCAGAGTGCAAGTGTTGTTGATAGATGAAGGACTGAATGGTGATTGATTAGCATAATTAGAATATTGTGGGAGTAGAGTTCAGTTAGAATCGGGAGAAATTCAGAGAGATCAGAAAAGTTAGAACAGAGAGAGTTCTAAGATTTTGATAAACAAGGAAGAATATTTGAATTAATAAAGACTATAGAGCTTAAAGCAGTGATCCCCAACCACCGGTCCGTTCCCTGGCCTGGGTCAGACTGGGCTGCCAAGAGAGACCTCCCCCCGCCCCCTGTGCGCACTCACCCCTGCACTGCCCATTTGTGGCCCACGAGCGCTGCACTGCCATTTGCGCATGTGTGTGGGTGCACGCAAGCCTGCACAAGCACATTCTGCCATTTTCACATGCGCACAAGTGGTTGTGCGCATGCACAAATGGTGGTGCGTGCTCGTGCGGGCCCACATGTGCCCATGCACATGTTCAAATGGTAGCACGGCGCTCATGCAGGTGTGCACCCATCCGTGCAAGAGCGAGCGAGCGCTTGTTTGCACATGCGCGTGAACACAGGGGATGCCCCGCCTTCCCCAGCCGGTCCACGGACCAGAAAAGGTTGGGCAACACTGGCTTAAAGAATGCGTGTCAAAAAGATCAAGTCTGTAAGTAAGCTATTTTGGTCTTTAAATACAGAGGAAATATATTTACATTTTATTATCCACATCCTAGAATCTACCTTCTCCTTCATTACCATCATCTGTTTTCTCTCAATAAAAATCCCTTTTGATGGTTGTGATGGGTTTTCCGGGCTCTTTGGCCATGTTCTGAAGGTTGTTCTTCCTGACGTTTTGCCAGTCAGAGTTCCTATTCCAGTCCTCTCAAGATGCTGGCCACAGAGACTGGCGAAACGTCAAGAAGAACAACCTTCAGAACATGTCCAATGAGCCTGGAAAACCCACAACAACCATCAGATCCCGGTCATGAAAGCCTTCGAGAATACATCAAAAATCCTTTTTGTTTTAAACCAAACTTTTCTCATTGTTTTACAGTTTATGTAACTAAAAATGTGTAACTGAGACTACTAATAGGCAGATTTTAGGGATCTTATGGGAAACAGATGGTTCTCAGGGTATAGGGCAGGAGCAAAGGGGGATAACTGATTACAGCAGAAACGACAAGAACAAACTAATATGGCCAATATATTTCAAAGTCATTTTGCACTAGATCTCTAATTGTGCAGGCCCATCTCTGGAGGTATGCAGCAGCATAATTTTCTGAAAAAGTTTTAGGCTAATAAAATTACAGTGGTGCCTCGCTTAACGAGCGCACCGTTTAACAACGAATCCGCATAGCGATCTCTTTTTTAGATCACTAATGCGATCGCATTGCGATGTTCTGAACAGGCAAAACATCGCATTACGATGATCGGTAAGCGTTTCGCTTACCAATCTTCGCATAGCAATGTTTTTTTAAACAGCTGATCGACGGTTCCAAAATGGCCACCGGGTGCCCAAAATGGCCACCGCAAGTGTTTTCGCGCCCTGCCCTCGCTTACCGAGGGCGCAAAAATGGCGGCGCTATGGAGGAACTTCACTGAACGGTGAGTTTGGGAGCCATAGGAATGCATTAAACAAAGTTTAATGCATTCCTATGGCTTTTTCCGTTCTGTTTAGCGATGTTTCTGCATAGCGACGATTAATCTGGAACGGATTAACGTCACTATGCGGGGCACCACTGTATCTTACTCCAATGGAAACCCCTGCCCTAATAATTCCATTGAGAACTTTGAGTGGTTGGTTGATATCTTTTCAGGGTTTTTTTTATCACGGATGGGATCTCTATGATTCATCATGTTTAAAGGTACCAACAGAGCATATGTTTCTACCCCTGACAATCACAAGCCAACTCTATATTATATGGTGACTTTAGCCACCACAGATTTATGGCTGAGAAGTTTCCATGTTGTCTCCTTCATAGAAACTACTGATAGAGACAGTACTTTTTTTCTTTTCTTTTTGGCAACCTTTTAATTAGAGCTATTGTATTGATGCTGTGGTGGTGCCACCATCTGAAAGCCTGAAATTTCAACTTCTGCCTTTTATTCAAGTAGATAATAGGCAGTGCAATCTAAACTTAAATATATGCTGGTTTTAGTGGGTATGGAAATGGACAGAAGTCTCTTGTGCCACTACAAATATCCCTACACTAACTGCCTCAACACAATCTGTTTGTGTTGGCTGATCTCGGATCTGCCAGCACAACTGCTATGCTGGCTGAGATCAGCTGGCATATGACCTCAAAAAAGATGGAGAAAGGGAGGAGCTGAGTTACATCAGATCTAAAATCCTTTCAGTTCAGACTCACAGTCTATGATAGTACTATATGGTCAGAGAGCTCTTACATAATTTCCAGCATTCCTAGGCTGGGAGGGATTTGGATGTAGCACATATTCAATTGTCTCAGTGATCTCAGCCAGTTCTCAATCATCTTAGTTAAAATTGCACCCTTATATTGGCAATTATGTTGTGAAAATTGTGGCTTTCTTAATCCATATTCTTAGGTATGACTAATTTTTGGTGCAATGTGTCTGATCCTGGAATGTGTTTCCAAGGGAAACATTCAACAGCACATCAGCTGCTTATGGGTGATACAGTTTTGGGAGTACTACTTTGTAATATTATAATAGAACCTGTCTAAGAGAGACATTTAAATGATAACTCCTTTCTGTATGTTTGTGATTTCCTTAAAGATCCAGCCATTAGGGACAAGCTGGTAAACCCAAGGTGCTTGGTTGCTGTTTCCTGTGTTTATTTTTTAAACAAAGCCTTTAATTTCCCCCAGGTTGTTCAGTCTGTTCCCCAAAAATTGATGGTTGTTTCTCCACATTATAAAAAGCAGAGAATTTTCCCTAAGGACAAACCTCATGATTAAAACTGTACCCACTGCCCGACAAGGAAATTCAGACCATCCCAACAAAAATTGTATCACTCCTGTACTTTTATCTTCAAAACACTGTGGTATACAGCAACTCCACTATATATTGCATCATTAGTGGTGTGTAAGAGGTGAAATGATACACCAGTTTTGCAAGAACCAACATCTACAAACAACTAAGTCACAATACTGTTCTTTCTCCAGTTATGTAATGACTACTAGTCCAGTTGACTAGAGGGTTTCATTCCCTTTAAATGCTGCCACCAGTGGATCTTTATCCACTCTGTACCAAATATGTTTCTTAGACCTGGGCTGCCAATATAACAGGTTTATTTATTGTTTGATTGGTAAATCACAGAAGGAAAGTCATAAATGTTCTTTTATTGTTCAATCATTAAACTTGGATAGGATTACACGTTTGCTTGTTTGTATTCATTCACATTAACCACTGTAACAATATCTAACATACAACTTCTCTAACATACAACTTTCCAATCCTGGTCAAAACACTTCAAAACTCCTCTCTAACTCCCCTCAGTCTCCAACTGTTTTCTTCTTGACTTCACCCCTCCTGTGCTCCCATAGGCTCCTGCCCTAGAGCTCCATATGATGGACAGATGTGACTTGGGCATTCTGCCACATACAGGTACCTCCCCCCTTGGAAAGTTTGTTTCATGGGGTAAAACTTACCGTAGTTTACCCTCGTGAACAAAGTATGAGTCAACTTACCAATATGTCCAACCTCTTTTCTAATGCAATTCTCAATTATATATTTGCAATATATATACTTACACTTTTACACAGTTTAAAGCATATTAATCTTATTACTTTACAGTTAAATGACATTAATCAACTTTTTAACTTACAAAACAATCCAGTCACTTTTATCCTTATTTACCATTAATTCATCTATAAATTACATTTTTATTTATTCCATATCTATATAACCACTTAGAATATTTTCTATAACATTAAAAGTTACATATTTTGTCATTTCCATCGTTCATTCTTCCGGTCTCCTTGACAAGGCGTTGGCGGCCACCACATTTTGATTCCCCTTCACACTCTTGATCTCGAAATCAAAGTCTTGTAACAGTAGGGTCCACCTCATTCATTAACTTGTTATTCGCCCTGATAGTTCTCAACCACAGCAGTGGGGAATGATCTGTGCACAGTACAAAATATCTCCCCCATATGTATGGCCTGAGCTTCTGTAACGACCATTCAATCACAACACACTCACGTTCTATTGTGGAAAGGTGTCTCTCGCCAGTCTGCAGTTTCTTACTCAGAAACGTCACCAGATGAAGGTCCCCATTGTCATCCGCCTGGCTCAGCACGGCTCCTAATCCGGTGTTGAACACATCTGTGAAGACAGTGAACTCTTGTTGGAAATCTGGCACTCTCAGGACAGGACCGGTCATCAACGCACTCTTCAACTTCTTGAAGGCCTCCTCGCATTCTCTCAACCACAGGATCTTTTCAGCTTTTCTTTTATGTGTTAAATCAGATAAAGGGGCAGTTATTTCACTGAAATTCTGGATAAAGCATCTAAAATAGCCATCTAACCCCAAGAAAGATCTGACTTTTTTCTTTGTTGTTGGTCTAGGCCAGTTACTGATTACTTCAATCTTTGATTCTAGGGGTTTAATTATGCCTCCCCCTACCATATGGCCTAAGTATTTTAATTCTGAGTTACCCAGTTGGCATTTCTTAGCCTTGACTGTTAACCCGGTCTCAGTTAGTCCCTCTAGCACTTTCTCAATATGGCACAGGTGATCTGTCCACGTCTGACTATAGATCCCTATATCATTGATGTGTGCTATCGTGAATTCTCTAAGCCCTCGTAATGTTTGGTCCATTAGTCTTTGAAATGTTGCAGGAGAATTTTGCAACCCAAAGGGAAGGACCCAGAATTCATACAATGCAAAAGGGCTGCAGAATACAGTCTTCTTCTGATCTTTGGTGTCTGACCCCATTTGCCAGAACCCTTTAGTCAGATCTAAACTGGATATGAACTGACATCACCCAATTGTCTTGATCAAATCATCTAGTCTAGGCATCGGGTAAGCATCAGGCTTGGTGATGTGGTTCAATTTCCGATAGTCTACGCAGAAGCGTATACTGCCATCTGGTTTATCCACCAGTACTATTGGGGCTGACCAAGGGCTAGATGAAGGAACAATGATTTTTCTTTCAACATCTCATCTAGTTCTTGGCGAATCTTTGCTACATATGATCCTGTTACTCTGTAAGGTGTGACAGCTTGAGGTGGCGCATCTCCTGTATCCATTTTGTGCACCACTACCTTTGCTACACCAGGCTCATTTGAGAAGACTTGCATATATTTTAGTAGCAAGGCTCTTGCCTCATCTTTTCGCTCTGGATTTAGTGTGTCACAGATCTTAACATCTTCAGGATTATATTGGGGTTCTGGATTATATTGGGGTTCACCTCACCCTTCCCAATATGGCAATTCATGTTGTTTGTTGTCCACTTCTTTTATGGCATATAGGACAATCTTTTCTTTTCTATAGTAAGGTTTAATCATGTCAACATGAACCACTCTTCGACCTTCCTCTCCCTCCTCCTGAATTATGTAATTTACTTCACTCATCTTGGAGATTACTTTAAAAGGACCTTCCCAATTTAATTGCAGTTTATTCCCTTTAATAGGATTCAGCATCAGGACTTCATCTCCAGGACTGAATGATCTTTCTCTGGCCTTTTTATCATACCAGAGTTTTTGTTTCCCTTGCTGGCTCTGCAAGTTTTCTGCTGCTAACTTCAGAGATTGCTGCAAGGAGTTCATTAAGTTGTCTATATACTGGATCACTGTCTCAGGATCTTCTCCCTTTTGTTCCTCCCAATTTTGTTGGAGTAAATCAAGGGGTCCCCACACTTCCCACCCAAATAACAGTTCAAAAGGACTGAATCCAGTGCTTTCCTGGGGTACCGATCTATACGCATATAATAAGGGTTGTAATTTGTGATCCCAGTCATTGGGGTTTTCTGCAGTATAAACTCTGATCATTTGCATTAGATTTCTCCATCAATCCATTTGTCTGGGGATGATATGGGGATGATGTAATATGAGTTATGCCACAAAGTTGCCACAGCCTTTTAATTAATCTGGATGTGAATGATGTTCCCAAATCAGTGACAATTTCAGAAGCAAAGCCCATGCGACACATATAATTCAATAAGGCATCTGCCACAGTTTCTGTCTCTATATTTTGCAAGGGAATGGCTTCTGGATATCTGGTGGCATAATCTATTATAGTTAAAATGAATCGGTTTCCCCTTCTGGTTACTTTAGGTAAGGGTCCCACAATGTCTAAGCCTATGCATTGAAATGGGGTTGAAATTACTGGTAAACAGCTTTCATTTTATCATTGCTAGTACCCTGCCTTTAACACGTCACAGTTTTGACAGTATAATTTTATTTGCTTCCCCATCCCAGGCCAGTAAAAATTTTGAGCTATTCTTTGCTTTGTACATGTGATTCCCAAATGAGCAGCAAAGGTGTCTTTATGTCCTTTTTCTAAAATCTTTTCCCTGCATTTAAAAGGGATTATTAGTTGTTTGTGAATGCTTTCCCCTCCCCCCTTAGGATTTATTAAGACCTCTCTATAGAACAGGTCTTTCTCCACACAGAATCTTTCAGGGTTTTCAGGGGTTAGCTTTCCTTCTCTGGCTAACTTAAAGCATTGTTGTAAAGTGGAATCCTGTCTTTGTTCCTGGCTAAAAATGTTTTCATGAGGATTCCTTATACAGTGGACCCTCGACTTACAGACTTTTCGAGTTACAGACTTCTCTGGCTGCAAAATTTAGATTCGACTTGCAGCCAGAGAATCGACTTAGAGACCAGCAAAAAACCAAAATGGAATAAAAATAGAATAAAAACCACTGGTTATGGGATTAATCGGTTTTCACTGCATTGTAGGTCAATGGAGATTCGACTTACAGACTTTTTGACTTGCAGCCACCATTCCAATACGTATTAATTCCTTAAGTAGAGGGTCCACTGTAACCACTACCTCAGCTGTTTCATTGGCTTCAATTTCCTCCTATAATTTCATCATAGATCTCACATTTTTCCTCAGGTGTTTCCCTTTTTTCTATCTGGGAGTGAGTGGTTACCAAAACACTCTTAACATGCTCAGATAGATCCAGCCCAATCAAGCATGGAGCAGGAATTTGATTTGTGATGGCTACTTTTCAAACTTCATTCCACCCTTGATATGTCATTTGTACTATAGCCATGGGGAGAGTAATTAATTCGGTTCCAATCCCTTTTATGGTTATGTATTCATTTCTCATGATATCTCCTTGAGGATGACATGTCACCTGAGAGCATGAGTCTCTAAAAGCTAGAAATTTAGTATCATTTATGTAAATTTTTTCACCAGAACAATGAAGCAGCTCCTGGTTACTCTCAATAAAATAACATTGTATAATGTTTGCTAAAGGCAGTTGTTGTTCCTGACTCTCATCTCTCACAGTTACTGTGCCGTTTCTAACTGCCTCAGCGATCTTTCTCTGTTGTTGTACCCAATACACTTTCTTGGGGAGATTTCCTCCTCCTTTCTGTTGACCAACCTCTTTATTATTTGAGGTCTGACATTGAGAAATGAAATGCCCCTTTTCTCCACATCCATAGCAGGTTTTAGGAGCTCTTTGTTCAAAATATGGGGACTTATCTCCCTTTCCTTCAAAGCTTTTATTCCTCTGTTGATTCTGCTCTGAGGGCTTGCCTCTAAAATGGCCTCCAGTAGCCTGAATGTTTTTGTGGTAATCTCTGGGCTCTTTCTTTCTTTCGTCCCAGCTTTTACTGCCAAGTTTTATCTCAGAAAATTTTGGGCTCTTTATTTCTGATATATAATCAGCAGCCTCACTTGTCTGCTGTACAGTTTTGGACTTTTTGTCCCTGCTAAATGCCTCAGTTCTCCAATTAGAACTGAATAGAATTGTTGTAGCCCAATAATATTTTCCATATCTTCTAATAATTCTACATTTGCCTTTTCTAGTCACTTCTCCAAGTATCTGACCAGATTTGTTCCAAATGAGAATGTGATTCCTCAGGCTTTTTTAGCCAGTGCTCTAAATTTCTGTCTGAGGTGCTCAGCATTGATCCCAAACCTCAAGAAAACCAATTTTCTGAATACCTCATAGTCTTGCTTGATCCAGTGGCATTTGAGAATAAATCTCAGCTAACTCTCCACTTATCTGGGACCTCAGCATAACCATTCTCCCCCTCCCCATTAAAATCCCAGCATGTATGCTCGAAAGCAATAAGGAATGCTTCTGGGCAATCACTCTTTCTAAACTGAGGGAATTTCTTTATGTCCACTTTTGATAAATCTCCCTCATTATTTGAATTACTATTGTTATTGTTCTTAGCTGTTAATTCTAATTGTTTCATTTGTAATTGATACTCCATCTCTTTTGCTCTCATTCCCAGCTCTCTGGCTGCTGCTTCTGCCCTAGCTTTAATTTCTAATTCCTTCAAGTGAAATTCCTTTTCCAATTTCCAGTTTTCCAACTCTAGGGAGGTTAACCCAGTTTCTCCTCTTGAGGCATCCTCCTCCTGAGCTTCATCTTGCTCAGCTATTTCAAGAGGGCTCTCCTCTTCGTGAGGTAAAGTTTGAACATCTGCTACCTCCATTGCTAACTTTTTCCCTTGCTTAGAAGGCGTGTTTATTTGTGTTTCTTTGGACAAGCTGGCTGATTTTACTGAGGCAGACAGTCAAGTTTGACATTGGCTTAAGTTTTCCTTTCTGCATTAGAGATAGTTACTTTGTAACTCTCCATTGGCAGCAACGGATTGCTACTCTATTTCTTCCATCACCCAGCCTTGCTGTTTCTGGGTCTGATACACTGTTTCTTTCTGCCCCCAGACACCAAGCTTTTTCTCATACATTTTTATTTTATTCAATCCCCAGTTAGTTTTAGTCACCTCAGCTATATCTTTGACATTGGCTTCCACCTTTGTCCCCTCAGTGCTCCTTTCTCAGAGCTTGGGATCTAAAGTTAGCCCCTCGGTCTTTCACTCTAAGCATGAGGTAAACTTTAAACACAGAATAATTCTCCTCAGAGTCTTTTTCCTGTCTTAGTCTTATCCCAAGGTCTGCTATCAGGAGTCTCTTCCAGGCTATGCACTAAGAGCTCTAGGGTTTCCCACTCCTTCTCCTCAGTCCTAGACTAACAGGTCCCTCAGACTCAGAAAATTTCTTTTTTCTTTGGCTCACTGGAGTTTATTTGCTTCGCATCCCACCGCTTTGCCACCACTTTGTCGCATTCTCCCAGTGTTCCCTGTTTGTTTTCCCTCAAACACAGGTCACAATGTACTATTTTCTCCCTTTACACGCTGCCACCAGTGGATCTTTATCCACTCTGTACCAAATGTTTCTTAGACCCGGGCTGCCAAATATAACAGGTTTATTTATTGTTTGACTGGTAAATCACAGAAGGAGTCATAGATGTTCTTTTATTGTTCAGTCATTAAACTTGGATAGGATTACACGTTTGCTTGTTTGTATTCATTCACATTAACCACTGTAACAATATCTAATGACTGTCTATTTTCTTTTACTTTGATCTCTTATCAATTCTCTAATACACACCAACTTTCCAATCTCTGTCTTAACACTTCAAAACTCCTCTCTAACTCCCCTCAGTCTCCAATTGTTTTCTTCTTGACTCTGCCCCTCCTGTCCTCCCATAGGCTCCTACCCTAGAGCTCCATATGATGGACAGGCATGACTTAGGCATTCCGCCGCACAGTTCAAACCATCTGTTTTTGCTTTAAAACCAACTTTCAACAGTTTTTCCCCCTTTCAGGAGTTTATTCTGAATTAGGTATCTTTTGCTTTCAATATGGTCTATTCTTAGATAAGTCTCTTTGTTGTTTAGTCGTTAAGTCGTGTCCGACTCTTCGTGACCCCATGGACCAGAGCATGCCAGGCCCTCCTGTCTTCCACTGCCTCCCAGAGTTGGGTCAAATTCATGTTGATAACTTCAGTGGCACTGTCCAACCATCTTGTTGGACAACTCAATAAGCCTTTAAGTCCAGTGAAATGGACTGTTTCTAAGTTGTAACAGTCGTAAGTTGCAACTGGCACTGGGGCTACACGATGTTTTCTTCTGTATAAACCTCGGCATTGAATGCTGTTGGAAAACTCAGTACCGGTATTTTTATCATGATGAAAAGATAGGGGGAAAAGAAAAGGGAGTCTCTGCACACCTTAAAGAGTGATTTTCTGTGGCAGGAATAGATCGATCGTCTCCTTTAGTTTTCAAAGTACCCCTAAATCCCTTTTGTTTTCACCGAAGGCTAATTCTCTGAAGTTTATCATACAGGCGAACTCAAAATAGTTTGTACAAAGATGGCTAGTAGCAAAGGTCTCCCTTTCAGCTTTTCCGAAGTGCTACTTCTTGCCTCTGGTCTTCGCACAATCCGGGGGGAGGGGGGGCAAAAGTCTCCAACGCTGGTGCCGGAAAAGAGCCCTTGTGACAAAGATTCAAGGAAAAGGCTAGTCCTTATAGGGTAATCCTATAAGCGCTTCCTCAAGAGCAACACCCGCCAACCTTAACAGAAATTTACAGCAGTGCAATGGGAACGTACGCCCAAATTTTACGTGAAAACTCTTACTAATTTCACTGGGGTTTATGACTCTCCGCGCATGGGATTATTCTGCAAAAGTGAAGAATGGAGCCGGCCCTCCTTCAGTCTCCACACACCCCCCAACAACTTCCACTGCCCGCACTCAGTCCCTTCCCACGACCACCTCTTGCTTTACTCTAACGGTTAGAAGCAAACTTCCTTCGCCGCCGCCGCCGCTCTTCTCAGCTCTCGCGAGATTATGCTAATGAAGCCGGGCATTCCGCTCTCTTCCCTCTCCCCATCCACTCGCGGTGGTGAGTAGTTGGCCAGGCCTGTGAGCCCGGAGCGTGCGATAGGCTCGTGGGCGAGGGAGCGCGCGGGCGCGCGGCAGGAGGAAGAGGAGGAGGAGGAGGAGGAGATTCCAGGGCGGTGCTTTGGTCGAGAGAGGGGGGGGCGAGTGATTCCTCGGGCGCGCAGTGCTTTGTGGGATACAGGCGGTGTTCTGCGTCCGCCTCCTCCTGGGTGCGGAACGCTGCCGCTGAGGCGAGGAGCGAGCGAAACAGGCGGGCGGGCCGGCAGAGAAAGAGAAAGAGAGAGAAAAGGAGGAGGGGGGGAGGGAGAGGAGAGAAAGAGACCGAGACCCGAGCAGGGCATGAAGATGGCGGACGCCAAACAGAAGCGGAATGAGCAGCTGAAGCGCTGGATCGGCTCCGAAACCGACCAGGAGCCTCCGGTGGTCAAGCGCAAGAAGACCAAGGTGAAGTTCGACGACGGCGCCGTCTTCCTGGCCGCCTGCTCCAGCGGGGACACCGAGGAGGTGCTGCGTCTGCTGGAGCGCGGCGCCGACATCAACTACGCCAATGTGGACGGGCTCACCGCGCTGCACCAGGTCGGTGTCTGCCAGCCTTGGCCGCCCGCGCCTGGGCCTAGCTGGGTTTGGGTCGGCAAGAAGCCGCCGCCGCCGAGGAGGAGGAGGAGGAGGTGGCTGAGGCCCTCACCGCCCCCCCTTCATCTCCTCCGCCTCAGAGAATTGGAAAGGGAGGCTCTGGACCGAGCAAACCCCTCAGTTCCTCAGAGCACGGCGAAGCGGCCCTCGCCGGCCTTTTCGGGGGAGTCAGGCGGGCTGCGCACATCCTTCTTGGAGCCCGGAGGAATGTTGTGTTTTGCAGAAGAGGGTGCCCATCTGTATGCTTGCATGGGTGTTTAGGCCGGGCCGCCCTTTGCTTTTTTTCTCTTCTCTTAGTCAGGCAACCACAATTGTGGGTCGCCTTTTCCTTCTTTCCAGGGCTAACGTGTCGTGGGGATGGGTGGGTAGGCGGACTGGGGGAAGGCTGGAGGGTTAGATCACTTTCCCCTCCTTTATAGCCAGAAAGGAGAGGGAAAAGTCTCAATTCTTAGGGAGGAGAAGTGATGGGAGTCACAGTGTCTCCCACAGTAAGATTTGCAAGATTGGCCAGTAATTAATGTTGCCACTTCCAGCCCTTCTGTTTCCCAAATATGTAAAATTGTGAAAACCGTCTTCTACAAGAACATTGAACAGTTTCACGACCCTCTTCTCTATCCTACCCACCCTTCTATTCTGAGATGCATCTTTATTCACTTACAGATTGTTTGAAAGGTTGCCCTGATGTTTTCGCTGCAATGTGACATGCAGATGTGAACCCAGTTCTTCCCTCCAATATGCCTCCTTTTCGCCTTATGTGTGGAAAGTTGATGTTAAAACCATTGTTTTGTTTGTAAACTCTCAAAGTCTTGTTTTAAGGAAGATGAAAAGTAAAAGTGGTAGTGAAGTTTTTTTTCCAAAATGGATGCTTTGTGCACATTAAACTTTTATAGGAGCCTGATTGGAATCTCAAAATGTTAGCCAAATAAGGAAAGACTGGCAATCCGAAGATAATGTGGGTTAGCTTGACTATATCTAGGTTCTCGTTAGCAGGCCAGGAGCAATAACAACGCTAAGCTCAGTGAATATATCAAAACCACGTATAATCACTTTGACAGCTTGATTTTTGTTTTGAACAGCAGATGTCCATAAAGACATAGCAATTAGAATGTCTTGTTGAATCAAGTAGAAATGCTCCTTGCATTTTATTGATTATTGAAGCAAAATGTGTTTTACTAATCTTTGAAACATAGGTTTCAATTTAGTATATATTAAAACATAGAATGAAATAAGTATGAGGAAAGCTTCTCTGTTTATGTTGCTTTAAGATAGTTGAAGATGGTTTATAAGTTATGCATACTTTGCTTTTATTGTGCAAGGTGTATAATCAGCCCTGTCTCCTGAATGAAACTGGCCATTCTTCTGATATCATAGTATAATTGTTTCAGGGAACTCATACATGCCCTGCTCACAAAATAAATTGTATTAAGAAGAAACCAAACAATAATTAAAACTTGTTATGATGAAATGTGGTGAAAGTAATTTCTATAAAAATGATTTGCCAATATCAACAAACTTTCATTGCCTTTAAAGTATTGGCTTTCTTATTGAAGCCAAATTAGAGAGGAAATGAACGTGTTCACAAGTTCTAAAAGAACTAAAATAGATATCACCTCGTAGATGGGCTGTGAAAAGATGGTGCTGTCATGCTGATTGTTACTGCAAGATAGTGGGACAAGATATTTTTCTAGCCAGAAACTTCTGAGCATCTTCTGTAATACACTTGACAAATTTAGTGTTGTTGATATTTAAACTCCTTTTCTGTGCCATCAGACTAGTGTTACTATATTATGAAATGTGATGTACATTTAAACATCTCTACAACTCTTCTGCCACATGTAGGAGCTGGAAAGAAAGAAGTTTGAACGGCTTGCATTGCTTCTAAGCAACTGTATTTGGGAGCATAAGTTTCCAAGTATGCATAACACTTTGGCCTTCATCTGAATGTTGCGATTTTTTTAGAACTGTTAAGTAGTTACATTGGGAGATTGTCAGGGAGTGAAAAGCTTGTTGAATGCAATTTACTATTGTATCTTTTGTGTGGAATTATGTGTAGTAGTGCACCATGAGAACTTTATGCATAAGACCTTATAATGTCAAACTGCTATCCTATTAACAAACCTTCCCCAGTCTAGTCCTCTTGAGTTGTTTTGCACCAGAGCTTCCCTGCCCAACATGATTAGCAGGCTGGCATGAGGAGATTTGAAAAGGTCCGGAGAACACCAGTGATGTGCACTTGGGAGAAATCTTTGGAGTTCATTTTGATTGGATGGAGAGAGGCTCACTCCTTTACAGTTTTGTTGCCATAGTTAGGATTAGAGTTTTGGGGAAATTAGGATCCAGCACTTTATTGGTGTAACTTAACATGCTACTTAAAAGAGATGAAAATATTGCTAGTTTTTCATGTCAAATTTAAGTAATCATTTTTACACTGCAGTGTTTGATCTCTTTCAAAGGTGGTGAGAGTAGGCCAACATTGCAAGGTCAGAAACCTCCCTAGCATCTTCCCAGCCACTGTGATGGAGGCGAAAGGGGATTGTTCCATTGATTTTTTGGAGGAAATTTGGGGTAGGCCTGGGGCATTCCCATTACAAGGTCCAAGAAATTGTGGGAAATATATGCCAGCCCTAGACTTGCAATATGTTCTTTTCCTTTCATAGTATTCAATGAAATAGAAAAGCACATATTGGGTCCCTCCTTTCTGACTTACTGGTTCTCTACTGATCAAGCAATCTTGGTTTAAAGAGCACTCTGATTTGCATACTCAGAATAAATCAGAAGAAATTCTGCAATATTAGTATCCTGTAGTTGATCTAAAATATGCCTAGAGAAGTGGTTCCCAACGTTGGGTCCCCAGATGTTCTTGAACCAATATTCCTAGAAGCCTTCACCACTTGCTGCGCTGGCTAGGATTTCTGGGATTTGTAGGCCAAGAACATATGGGGACCCAAGGCTGGGAACCAGTGGATTATAGGGTAATCCTATATTTTTAGGATATACTAATTACCAGCTTTGTCTTTTCCTGCACAAGAAAAACATAATATTTCTTGGGGCATCTTGTTATCAGTAAATAATGACTAAAGAGCCCCCAAATTTCTCTTGTAAAGATTGGATTTGGGAGTGTTATTTATAATGGCATTTAGGAGTATTTTTGTTTGCATTTGGAAGCTACATTAATATGTATTACTCTATCTCTCTATATTTTCTTTACACTAACACGGTTAAAAATGAAAGTAAAATTAAATTAGAAAAATTGGGAAACTGAAATAACCATCCAATTTTAACAGGTAATTTAAATCTTTTTCATGTTTTAATATTTTAATATTATTTTAAATCATATCGTTTAATTTGTTTTTCATATTTAACATAGTATTTTTAATTGTGTGAATTTTAATGTTGTGAGCAGCTTTGGTCTCTTGTTGGGAGAAATGCGGCATATAAATAATAATAATAATAATAATAATAATAATAATAAAAATCAGCCAAATATAAGTAAAGCAAATTTTACATCCATAGCAAAATGTGCATACAGAAGATTAAGTCTTCATCTCAGTGTATTTTAGAGCTGAGGGAGGTACCTCGGTGTACTATGGGTACATTGGACCTTCGTGCTCATAATTAATGCCCACTGGGTATTCTAGATGAAGTTTGTAAAGGATGTAGTCCAAAACATCTGGAAAGCAGTAGTTTGCCTGGCCTCAGGGCGTAAAGTACTAAAGATCATATAAGCAGGTCAGAGAGTTATTTATCCGGCTGTAGAACTAGAGGTTGGGAGTTTGATTCTTCACTGTGTGTCCCAGAAGATTCAGTGTTTGTAACCCTGGGCAAACTGCCTCAAGGGCACCCACAGAAGGAGGGGATGATAAACCACTTCTGAGTACTGTACTCTTTACCTAGAAAAATCTGGAAAGGGTTGTTGTAAGTCAGAATTGACTTGAGAGCAGATAATCATCATTATTAAGGTCATACTTCTTGCCAAAACTTATATAATAGAGTGTAGAGAAGGCCTAAAGAGCAAGAATATGGCTTCAGCAGAAAAATGATTATTTGTACAGGGCTTTTAATATTACAGTGAATATTGCAGATTCTGCCCAAAAGCACAAAGGTAGCTAGTGTAATTGGCAGTGTCTGTGTAGGTGTGTCTTTTAAAGACTATTAAAAATGAGCATCCACATCTTACCCCAGCTGATCTCTTCAGGATCAGCCAATTACAGTAGTAAAACTGGAGACTGCAAAATTGTAATGAGGTTAGCCAGATCTCAGGGAAGAATTGCATTCTTTGCAACAAGTACAACTTGCTTATAAAAGCACCTCTAGCTATTGTTGTCTACTTTTGTTTCTTTTTTAAACAGGCCTGGAACTGTGTGTTCATACTGTGCTTACAACCCGGGGTTCAATCCCAGGTAGCCGGCTCAAGGTTGACTCAGCCTTCTATCCTTCTGAGGTTGGTAAAATGAGTACCCAGCTCGCTGGGGGGGGGGCAATGTGTAGCCTGCATAATTAACTTGTAAACTGTCCAGAGAGTGCTTGGTATATAAGCAGCACGCTTTTTATTTTATTTTATTATTATTATTATTTTAGACATTTTCCTGCTTAGGCAGGAAAATTATTAAGGAAAGACCAGCAGAATAGCTACTGTGTCCCCTATACATTGCAAGCAGCATACAATATTTTTTTTGTTTAAAAAAATGTTTGGTTACTGGGTGTTAATTTACAAGACAAAGAACACTTTCCGTTGCGCTAATTTCAGTTGAAGACTTTCTAATGCAGTAGCTTTGAAATACAGAGGTAGAAAGTGTTGACTGACAAATTACAAAGCTTGATGTGAGCAAAATCTGTAAAATTTAAAAGATGTTCTGGATGGTGAAAAGCAGGTAGAAACATTTGATTCTCTGGGGGGGGCTGAAATCCTGTTGTACAACTCAACATGCACAGTGGTTATGATG